TGACGTTTTATTCATCAGCTGGGTTTTATACATTAAAAAGTAAGTGCTTACGTGCAAATACTCTTAGAACAGTAATAGGAAGAAAATACAGATAAGACATAGGGATGAGCGTCATGTACCCATAACAAATAAGTTTCAAGGTATGAGAGAACAAAATGATTAGAGCAGAGACATCTTAGGTGGGGGCTCTCTGCTCCCGGAACTTAGACATATATGGTCTTAAGTGTTGTTTAAGCATCAAGCATTTCCTGAGTCCAAGTTAGCCAATTTTAATATAGGATATCATTATATGACACCTATAAGCTTGAGCCTTGGAATCAAGATAAATTCTATCACAATCCCCTCTTTTGATCCAAGGGTCACCCAAATGTCCAAGGTATATCCAGGCCTGCTAGCCAAAGCCTGTGGGACTTTCATTTATTGCTTCACCACGGTTCCCTTGGACTGAGAGACCACCAGAATCAGCAGAGGAGAGTTCCTTCATTTGTTAGGCGAGGTAACATCATAAAACCTTTTCGAAGTTGGATCTGGAATGTAAGTTAAGGTACGACCAATAGTAGGTTTGCTTTTACATAAAGAGGTTAGTAGACATGAAAAAAATCTAAAGGTTAGAAAAATAGCCATAATGACAAATATAGCTAACAGCAAAAAGTACAAAATCTTCTTAATTAGTAAAGTCAACCATGTTCCTAGCCCAAATGTCCAATCCCAATCCCCAAAGAAGCCAGTATCCTGTTTGATCTCCTGTACTAAGTCATGTAAATCTTTTATATGTTTATGGATCATAGTGCCATGGTCAGATAGGTTAAAACAGCACATACCTTCTATAGCTTCACAGCCTAAGTCATGTTTCATTAGTAAGTAGTCAATGGCTGCTCTATTCTCAAGGATTGCCTTCTTATTTGCCTGGCTGTCCATAAGTAGCTCTTCTAGGGCCTGTGAAGTGGCATTTAAACCTTTTGCAAGGGAACAGGCTACAGCATTTACTACTCGGGTATTATACAATGCTAAACCTGGGACTCCTACCAAGGTGTACGCTAGGGCAGAGTATTCGGCTTTAGATAAGAGAGTGATTTCTGGGTTACAATCTGCATTAAGGGTGTTTTTAACATCTCTCCTGTCTCTCAGCAGTTTGTGTAGCTGGGTGGTTTTAGTGATCAGGTCAGATTTGGAAAACATGGTCATGGTTAGGCGAGAGATTGCACAGGGACCTCCTGTAATGTTACCTGGGACATAAGCATAAGTAATATTTCCACAGGAGAAAGTCCATCCTTTAGGAAGATAGACATTGTAGTGGTAACTCATAACTTGGTGAGTTTTGGTACAATTCATAGTGGTGCTTAGGGCTCTACAATTCGTGGTATTTTTCCACCATGTGGGGCAAAACAGGGATTCAGTATTAGGGTCTCTTGAACAATTACATGAAAAAGACCAACATAGTTCAGCGCCTGTCACATTAATTGTCTTCAGGGCTAGAGGAGGCTTGCCTACGAGTGGGTTGAAGGCATAAGAATATAGTTGTAGAGATTTATGGGGTCTTTGGGTATGTAGGTACTTTCTTAACAGTGAGATGGGGGTAGGGACAGCTATAAGACAAGAATCTGGGAGACCCAGTGCCGGAGCTGACGTTACCAGTATCTTAAGTGTATAGAAGGCATTTTCTGCCGCATGGGTTAATTTAAATGGTTTGTTTTCGTTGGCAAGACAATCATACAGTGGTTGCATGTAGATAGCTACGGAACGCAGCCAAGGGCGGCAGTAAGAAATCAAACCGAGGAAAGTACGAACCTGGGCTAAACTGCGGGGGGGTCTAATATCTTGAACTGCAGTTTTTCTACTTTCCGTGAGATGTTTTATGCCCTGGGAAATGCAATGTCCTAGGAAAATAACTTTCTCTACACATGCTTGCAGTTTCGTTTTTGTTGCTTTACAGCCTGCTTTTTCTAGGAATTTTAGTAAGGAAAGAGTGTTTACAATACAAGATTCCATACTATCGCAACATAGGAGTAGGTCATCGATATACTGCAATAAAATTACGTTATTTGGCCTTTGCCATTCTTCAAGAATCTGGGCCATAGCCATGCTGTACATAGTGGGTGAGTTTTGTGCACCCTGTGGCAATACTGTCCAAGTGTACTGCTTGTGTTTATGTGTAAATGCAAATAAAAACTGACTGTCGGGAGCCAGGGGGACACTGAAAAATGCATTTGCCAAGTCAATAACAGTAAATACCTTAGAGGAAGGTGGTATTTGTGCCAACAAGGTGTGTGGGTTGGGAACATTAGGGGCAATGAGTTCAGTTACAGCATTAATTGCCCTCAAATCATGTACCATACGGTAGACCACAGGTTTCCCTTTCTCTTGCTTTTTCTTAATTGGGTACAATGGTGTGTTACAAGGGGAGGTGGTCTGGACAACTACCCCTGCCTGCAGAAACTCTTGCACAGATTGCGAAATAGCATCTTCCTGTGCTGGGCTTAGGGGGTATTGTTTTTGATAGGGAGGTTTGGCTCCGGGCAGGAGATTCACTTTGACTGGGGGCACAGAGAGTCTGCCTGTATCTGTCTTCCCTGTAGCCCATAAGGAATCAGGGACTGAGGACAAGTCAATGGTAGGTTCTGGCACATGGCTGGGCATAGTGAGAGTTGCCAGAACATTTGAAAGAGATATCATTTGTTTGTCCTCTAAAGGCACAGACAATGTTACTTTTCCAGTGGGGCTATACTGGATATTTGCACTAAGAGCAGACAGTATATCACTGCCTAGTAGATTAGCAGGGGCATGAGGGCTGACAAGTAGCCTTGTTACAAGGGCAGTAGAGTCATGTAGCTTCAATTTCAACTTGTGGGTCAAGGGAATGTCATTTTCAATACCATCTACCCCTACACATGATAATACATCATTAGATTTCTCATACGGGAATACATATTTTTCCTGTAACATTGATTTAGCAGCGCCAGTGTCCAACAGGAAAGGGACTATTCGGTCCCCAGGCAGTGTAACATTGATAATGGGTGAGGGTCCTGCAGAGTCAGGGATATTGATGATATGTAGGGACACTGGTTTGCCAATTTCCTATTGGGGGGGGGGAGGTGGTGGTGGTGGTGGTTGGCTGTCATGGGAGTTATCATTAGAATCTTGGGGTTTTCTATTTTTAGGAGGACACCTGCAGTTACGTTTAATGTGTCCTTTCCTGCCACAATTCCAGCAGTCTACCTGCCTTCTGTCCCCATCAGCTCTAGGGACAGTTACAGCCATTAGAGGTGTGCTCCTCTTTCTAGTATTTAGATTAGCTTCCACTCCCCTAGCCACCTTCACCAGATCACCATAGGTTAAACTTCTCCACTCAGGTCTAGCATTTTGGAGACCAGTCCTTATGGGTATGTGGATACCATCCATGAAGCAGTTAATAAGCAGTCTGGTCGAAGTGGTTACAACATCAGTGTAACCCAATGCCTCCCAAGCCATTTGTAGTCTGGTGAAGAATGTTTCTACAGATTCATCTTTCCCTTGTAGTATGTCTCCTAATTTATGGGCTAGTTCCTCTGTCTTTACCTTAGCCCATTCTCTCATTGCAGTGACATAGCATGCTCCAGATGCAGACTTGGTTCTAAACCATTCATCTGTTTGCATGTTGCTTTTTCTGAGGTTATCTTCATGGGCATCTGTATATTTAGCAATTATTCTAGCCAAAATGGGACCAGCTTTTAGTGCCACAATCTGTTTTAAATCCATCCAAGTACACTGGTAAGTAGCTTGAATTGTGGATAGAGACTGGACTAGAGCTAAGGGGGCCTTTTCAACATCTGGCAGCTGCTGTATTATTGCCAGTTGTTCACTGGGTGTCCAGGGCTTATATTCTTCCCAGTATTGGATACCTGAGCTCGGCTGTCTGTGCTCATGGTATACACTCTCAACTTTGGGTATCATGGGAGTAGAAAATTGTGGAGCTAATGGCCCCACTGGGGTATCTGTGGGGGCAACTAGGGGTTCCTTTAAGTCTGGACTACCTTCCTGCTCTAATGAACCCATAGGTCTTACTGGGACACTATATGAAGTCCCACTGCGTAATATTACTGGAAAGAGAGGTTTTGATCTCTGTAAAAGGGAAATCGCCTTGTCTTTTGGGACCAAAGGAGTCCCTGAGGTATCCTGGTAAAAGGGTGGGTTTGCAAGATTTTTCCCAGGATCTTGCCTACTCTGGGACCCTAGAGGTCCAAAACATTGATAATATGGTACACCTTTCCTGGTGGTTTCTCTACAACCACATTTAGTTAATTCAACAGCAGTATCATGCCATTTTTGTGCGACTTCTACTAAGTCATTATCTTCTAACCAACCTCTGTAATTTGCCATAAATTCACTCCATATATGTGGGTCTAGAGTGCCTTCTGAGGGCATGCCAGCTTTCTTAAGTAACCTCTTAACATTCTTAATTGCTCCTTGTCCTTTGTGATGCTTGACAATAGTCAAAGCCGTAAATCCCCCTTGGGTACTTTCAGAGCTACCCATCTTAAAACTTGTAAGGATTAATTACTTCCTTACACAAGACAAACTGTACAAAAACAGTGTATTTAAACACTTAGGACCGCTGCAGTGGAATTTTCACAGTTTTTGTCTTCTAAACACAGATCAGGAGATCTGCCCTTGGAGGATTCTAACTCAAATTATAAAACAAATGACAAGGCAAACAATAAAAATAACTTACAACCCACAGTTATATTCCACTATCTCAAGATTCCTTTCACAAGACATAACACAACCTCCAACTGAATATAACCATAATACCACAGAAAACAAGTTCTTTAGATCAGACGTTTTTAAGTCGTTCTTTACCCAGACAGACTAGTAGGACGTGGATCTGAGAGCGAAATTGATAAAGGTAGAAAAAAAGTTTTTCTTACCTTCCTGTACAGCTGATTTCACTGTCAGAGGGACGTCCACCTGTACGCTAGTGTCCGAGTCTCTCGACCGTCAGATCCCGGGGTCACGGCACCAAATTGTTGTGGATCAGAAATGTTGATCTTTGTTATATTCAGAGGAAGCCCAAATTGTTGTTACAAGTGCACTTGGAGAAGCGAGAATTAGACACCAGACACCTGTTGGTATTCAAAATAAGCCTCTGACGTTTTATTCATCAGCTGGGTTTTATACATTAAAAAGTAAGTGCTTACGTGCAAATACTCTTAGAACAGTAATAGGAAGAAAATACAGATAAGACATAGGGATGAGCGTCATGTACCCATAACAAATAAGTTTCAAGGTATGAGAGAACAAAATGATTAGAGCAGAGACATCTTAGGTGGGGGCTCTCTGCTCACGGAACTTAGACATATATGGTCTTAAGTGTTGTTTAAGCATCAAGCATTTCCTGAGTCCAAGTTAGCCAATTTTAATATAGGATATCATTATATGACACCTATAAGCTTGAGCCTTGGAATCAAGATAAATTCTATCACACAAGTCCCCTTTTCTGGTATCACAGGTGCAAGTTTTAGCCAAGGTATATCCAGATGTGCGAATTACACCTGTGGGCCTTTAACTATTTCTTCACCTCTATTCCCTTTGGCCTCTTCCACCCACAAAACCATCCAAGGAGGGCCTGTCCAGATATTTGTAGATACAGGATAATATATGGCATTAAATCCATGTCTCGTTATGCAATACACTCATAGGTTATTGTATATATTTCTTTATAGCTCTGTATGTCTAGGGGAATATTCACTAAGCATTGCACAGGTAAAACAATTCATTCTCCATTGGGTGTGTTTAGCACTGCAGTAAAACATTGAAGTATCTATTACACAGCATAGCCTGGGTGCCTATACTGATCTTTTAAGCATTAAAACATGTGTCTTAGTATCTGCAGGAAATGGTAGCAGCATATTCCAAAGTGCCTCTCATAATTTTGTGTTACTTGGCAGTGACAGGGTTTATGACAATCTAAGCAAATGCAGCACAAAACAGGACATCATTCTTGCCTTTTAAAGCCCTAATTGCTTTTCCTCTAAATTACAGCATCTAGTCGTGTCTCATAATTATTGGAAACACTTCTCTCATTATCTGCTCACAAATAACATAATATTATGACAGCATTGTAATGCGTTGAGTAATAACGGAAAGGCTTTGTCAGTGAAGTTTCACAAACCGAGATCTCTCACGACTCTCTAATGCTTTCCTTTGTTTATTTCTCCAATGCCACATTGAGAAAAGGACAAGAGTGTCCCCCATGCTATGATGTATTTTCATACTTTTAATGTGTTATTTTTACGCATTTTGAAATCATGAATTAAATGTTATGCTAGCATATAATACTATAGGAAAACAATCATGGGGACTATTTTACAATAACGATTTAATTAATTTAGAAAAGATTTTTTATTCACATGTAATAACTGAACACCCTGCCTGAGTACAGGTCGTTCAGTTAACTATACATTTATAGGCATACTGCTGGCACTATAAAACTTGTAGTGATTTTGAAGTTGTTATGGTCATCTGAGAAGAGGAAAAATTAAAAAATGTTCTACTTCTCTTCCTCGATTACAAGTTAGAAGTGATTTTAAATAAGATTTTCAATGATTTATTCAATTGTATTAATTCCAGAGTAGTGACAGTCACCTTTAACATCCTCCTAAATTACTAGTTTCTTTTGGTTAAACTCCAATGCAATAATTACTGTTAAAAACTTATTAACAGATTGTATTCCCAATAGCACATTAGAACGTGGGATTTCGGAGTCCAGCCAATTAGCTCCCAGCTTTCCACTGTGTAGAAGTGTGGTAAGGCACTGCTAGAACAAATATATTATTTGCAAAACAAAAGGAAAAATAGTGACATTAAAAGAACACCCCAAATACATAAAGCAATTCACCTTGCTGAAGTGCTTTACATGTCAACTGTATCTCCTTTTTTGGCTTGTTATAAAAATGTTGATTCAATAGAAATCAGCAACAATAATGTTTTTTCCCAATGTGATGCTTTCCTGCTAATAATTTGAAATGTCAACACGAAAATTAGCCTGCTTAAAAGAGTAACACAATGCCACAAATACACAATTTAACACCTTCATGCGAAACAGTATTAGAAATATTTTATCCAAAGCACTGAAGAATTGCAACCAAGGTAAGATGTAGAAGGTCTTTGTTAACTATGAATTGCATTTGAGTACATTTTTAGAAACTCTGTCCTCTGTAATTTTAAAATGAGCAATATTTCATGCTATAACATAACAATTTGTGTATATATGTGTGTTAACATTATCTAACATAAGTAAAGGAAATAGAAATTGAGCTGCATTTCCATATTTGGTAATCCACATCCATATTTAAGAAAGACATTTTGATCTTCAAAGTCTGAAAGTCCATATTACCAGAATAGCTTATGTATTCTATATTACAACTTATTTTGCTCAGTCAGCAGGTTTACCACTTCTTTCATTGACCAGAATGCACATAAAGTCAGCTTCAGTTACATTTAGCTGTGGACTGAGAGTTCTTGGCTCCATCCCGGGTTAAAAGCCCCATCACTGGATAATTCTGAAAACAGGCTCAAGGTTCACCTATCCTCTGAGGCATTAAATTAGTTCATGTTTCTATGATATAGATTTTTTTTTCCAATATCTCATTTTTATTAGGTTTTTATTTGCAGAATAAAAACAGAAAGGAAAAACATTTGAATCGTTAGTGCACCATCCAAGCCTATTTCAACGTTTCAGTCTCTTATTACCTATTATAGAGCATAAGTCGTTTCATTTACATTGTAGAGCCATTCATCAGATACATTGCAATACACAGCGGCAACCACACACTGTAGTCAGTTAACTGTACATTAACAATGTCATCATTAGACATTTAGCATGTGTATGAGATACACTTGGAAGAGACATCAGCCTCAGCAGGGAGGTGCATTGAAGGTTAACAATACACATTTTAAGACAGAAACATCAACATAAATAGAAATAGAACTACAACCATTAAGAAAACATAAATAAGGGGCCAGGTAGCGTTGCAAACCTCTGTGACCCTTACAGACTGCAATGAGGATTGAGATAATACTAATTGTGACTGTGTGCCGTCTCGTATGACATGGGGTGGAGGTTCCATGATGCTATCAGAATCTGGCAGCTTGCATAGAAATGGATAATATTACGTGTGTTTTGGTAGTTACTCTTTAGCCAGCTGTCCAATAACCTATAGTAGGTCGCTACCTTCCCTCTCACTCTGAATGCCATCTTTTCTAACTCGCTCGTGGCTACCAGTTTGTTTGTAACTTCCAGTATAATAGGTGAGGCTGTTCTCTATCAATGGCTTGCAATGCTTATTTTAGGGAGGGTCTGCTGCTGATTGGCTGGAATGTGTCTGCTGACTGTGAGGTACAGGGTCAAAGTTTACCGCATATGTTCGCCGTCCGTGGCGGACCGTTCGGGACATCACTAAACATGAGGATGTCATCAGCGAATAAAGCTAGTTTTTGTTTAACTATCGTGGTGGATAATCCTGAGATTGTGTTCTGCGAGTTAATGTCTTACTAGTGGTTCCATGCATAATATGAACACTACTGGGGACAGAGGACATTTTTTCGATAGAAACCCTAAGGTGAAGATGTTAGCTGATGGGTATGCGTATAAAGCCATGATACTGCCTATAAAGGCAGGTGGGATCCCCAGTTTTCATATATTCCCAGTTCAAGCAATCAAACACTTTTTCTGCGTCTAGAGCCAGGAGTATTCTATGATATAGAGTTATAACATATTTGCCCCTTGTGTATTCTAACATTTTGTGATCTTACAAATCTAGACTTGTACTTTGTGTACAAAAGGTGCTCAAATGGCAATCTACACTTTTGTCCATTTCAAGTCTTCCTGAAGCCTGATTTTTGCTTGAGAAAGGCTCAGATGGCCAAAACATCTCCATTTACGGATTGAATAAAACTGTACCCTAAACATTTCTTCGGTGCCTGATGCTTTAGTACTGGGATAGGCAACCTTCGACACTCCAGATGTTGTGGACTACATCTCCCATCTGGAGTGTTGAAGGTTGTCTACCCCTGCTTTAGTGTAACGTGGAATGGCTATGGTACTTTGAAACACTTGGCACTTCTGAATATTTGTAAAGAACTGTGTGTCTCATAGAGATAATAAATCATTTATGATAATTATTTCAAATAATATCCAATGCTACAGTAAAACTGTGTTATCACTCCTAGAGAAATACATTAATATTGAAAATATGTAAGATATGTATGAACTAATACTAAAATCAAATGATAATAACAGTGTAAGCAAAGGTCCATTATTTTAAGGAGTCATGATCTACTGCAAAGGGATTCATGATTTGGAGTCACATCCACTGTACAAAAAAACAATGATTGATGAAAAAAAGATTATTAATTGGTTAAGGGACAGCCACTAAATGTTAATTGTATCCACATATCAAGTGTTAAGTGGCCAATGTAGGGTATACAAGGAGAAACAGTAAAGAAAAAAAAAAAGACAAAAAAAATATGATATGAAACATCTAAATATAGATATTTTTTCTCTCCATTGATAATCTATTCTCACTTGATATGTTAATCAAAAGGTGTGTAAAATATACACATAATATTTATATTATATACATATTCTGCAGTACACTGATTAGCCAATCGTCAGGCCATTTTGATTTGTCCAAATAGTTTTTCCTGAAATGATTGCATACATGAAAGTCATCCAAACTGAAACACCACAAGGATGAAACCTGAATCGCCTGAAACTATTTTGGACCAGTCAATTTGGATGAACAAATTCTTTTCAGTGGGCACAAGTCTAGTAAGTAAGTCACATCCTTTAAGGTCTTTAAAAATATATGTGCCTGAGACCTCTTTTATCTCATGACATGCATGGTGAAGTCTACTATAAATAATGCCCTCATAATGAAAACCATGCATGTTCAAAGAGACAGATAGATGCAATACTTTGTATCAACAAGGCAAGCAAGTGAACATTCTTTGGTAGCTATGCTAAAGAACTGGGCAAAAGTGCATCTTTTTTGCGACTCACAGTTTTCCTTATGCCTGAATAATGAATGAAAGCAGAAATATTATATACATTTAGTGGTTTCATCTGAAAATAAGAGAGAGAATTGGATATGTGTTTAACAATACTATTTATTTATTTATAAAGTGTTTTACTATGAAGAACACATTGCCATTTCTCTTATTTTCAACTATTTTGTGGAAAATGTTGCCTACTATAAATATCTTACATACACTGATTAGCCAGAACATTAAAACCATGGGAATAGTACAGTGAATAACATTGATATATTAGGCATGCAAATGAACAGTCAGTTCTTGAATTTTATGTGTTATAAGCAGGAAAATTGGGAAATTGAAAAGATCTGAATGACTTTTACAAGGGCCAAATAGTGATGGCTAGATCTAACCTGTTGTAATGTGCACAATGGTACAGTCAGGAAGTGGTTCTTGCATTGTGGGTATGTGAGTGGCCATTCTGAATAAAGTACACAGTTATGAAGACATGTGCTTGATCTCCTTATACAAACAAGATAAAACATGGAGTCAGAATAAGGATGGAAATCTGAACTGACATGCAAGGAGTCAGACTCTAAGGAATCCATGACATCTTTGCAGCAAATAGACAGAGTGTGGGTCAAAGCTCTGGCAGAGTGACTACAGCAGCTTTTCATGAACTGAGTAAGTGCATTATTACATGTACAATTGCCTGTTATTTCAAACAGAGGAGCTCTACAGTCTTATACATTAATACTTCATAATTCACAACAAAATAAATCGACAGTCAGTAACACAAAGATGGAAAAGTTAAATCTTCCACCAGAATTAAAAATGACTGGTAATATAGAAGGTTCATGGCTGAGGTTTAAGCAAAGATTCCAGCTATATGTTAAAGCTATAGGAGATCAGGAGCAAGATAATGAACAAAAGATTGCACTTTTTCTGACAGTAGCAGGATCAGCAGCAATAGATGTGTACAACACATTCACATTTAAAGATGAAGAAGGGGATGATTATCGGGTTGTTCTAGACAAATTTAAACAATACTGTGTACCTAGATGCAATGAAACCTATGAAAGATATCTTTTCAGATGTAGAATGCAGAATGAAACAGACTATTGACGAGTATGTCACTGACTTAAATTATGTAATTATGGAGCAATGTGTCGCTCATTAATCAGAGACCAGCTAGTCATGGGCTGCAGAAATATAAGGGTTAAAGAATGCTTGCTGAAAGAGAAAGATTTAATGCTGGAGGTAGCTCAGGAACAAGTGTGTACAATCTGCCACAGTACAGAGGGAACACCAGTAATGGCAGTTACAGTGGGGAAAACCAAAGTGAATTTACATTATGAAAATAAGTTTGATCACACAAAAAGCAAATTCACTGCCGGTAACAGAATGGCTATGCACCAGATGTGGAAAGCAGCATGGTATAAAACCATGTCCAGCTTATGGGCAAATCTACAGGAAATGTGGGAAAAGGAATCACTTTCAGAAGATGTGTAAAGCTAAAATAATGGTCCACATTGTTGACCAGCCAGGATGTGAAGAATCAGAAGAATTCTTTATTTGAATACTTGAATTAACCAAAGCTACAGATGATGAGTGGGTCATTGTAGCTATCACAAATGGCACTAATATGGCCTACAAAGTAGATACTGGAGCACAAGCTAATTTGATGCCTGAGAGCAAGTATCACCAACTGAAGAACAAATCAGAACTTCTGAATCGCTCAGTCAAACTAAAGACATATAATGGGGAGGTTATCCCAGTGCTTGGCAAGTGCAGTGTGTTTCTGGAATATGGAAATCAAACACATAAAATGAATATTCTGGTAATTCCAGGAAACAAACCAGCTTTACTGGGTCTTCAAGTGTGTGCAACTTTAGGCCTGATTCAAAAGGCCATAACGGTAGGTTCTTGTATATGTAACACTATTTGTACTAGAACTTGTGACTCGCAAGATCCATATTCACCACTTTCAATAATGGTGTGTGTGAGTTCCATTTTGCCTGCTGACAGTGTTGGGAGCACCAGTGGCCATGGATAGGCCTTGATTAGTGACAGCCCTATGAATACACTCTGTACAACAAGATCTCAGTTGTTTCAATTTCCAACAGAGGAGTGAGACTTTTTTTGGCCCCCCTATATCAAGGGTGACCAAAAGGTAGCTCCCCATATGTTGTGCAACTCTAACAATGCATTGACAGCTGGTTCTCTACCATTTACCCATGTTTGCAGGTTTGTATTTAGCACTGAGCAGTGTTTATGTGTTTGAATGTAAACAGGTTTTTGTATGTGGTGTTGGTGTTTGAATGCAAGCATGAATTTTTGTGTAGTGTTGGTTTTTGAATGCAGGGGTGTGTATATATATTATTTTAGTGTTTAACATAGAGGTGTGTTTGTATGTAGTGTTGACGTTTCAATGCAGTATGGCCATGTGTGCTATATTATATGGTTTTTACTCTGTTCTAGTCTAGGATTACTTTAGAGTCTCTTGTTTCTCTGCATTCTGCCAAGGTTCAGAACTGTCAACACAATAATTCCTTTATTAATATCACACAATGTAGGGATAATTGTGGGACAAAATATTACAAAAATATTTTGTGGAAATTATGAAAAAAATATATTTTCATCAATTTTAAAAATAACGATTAACAATTACATGTCACAATATCTATCAATAATTGATGATTCTTTAAAACAAAAAAAATTTCAGCATGTAAGATGACCCTTGTTCTGCTCAATGGATTCCATGTTTCATAGTCCATTCACTGATCTAATGTGTGTGTATGTATATATATATATATATATATATATATATATATATATAAGCAAGTAGAATGGCTGCACTCACGGATTTCCATTTAAAAAATAACTTTTATTCAGTTTCCATAAAATAAATCGACATTTCAGCCCAATCTGTGGACTTTCATCAGGATTACCTGATGAAAGTCCACAGGTTGGACTGAAACGTCGATTTATTTTATGGAAACTGAATAAAAGTTATTTTTTAAATGGAAATCCGTGAGTGCAGCCATTCTACTTGCTTATATCGATATTGAAGCCCAGGCTATGCACCCGGTCTTGGAAATTTTAGGAGCCTGTGTGCAAGGTACAGTTCGATTATATATATATATATATATATATATTTGTGTTAGGGGCCCATAGCCATATAAGGAGTAAGGACCAAGTATAAGCAAAGGATAGTATAAAAGAGCTGGTCGGTAGTCGTGTGCCGGAACTGACGATGCGGTAGGCCTGTAAATAAAGAGGGCCCACCAAGGAGTAAAAGAAAGGAAAAGAGAAAAAGAAAAAGAAGGAAAAGTGTTGAGAATGTGGAGTGGTGGGAGGGTCATTCAACGCTGAATGGTATGGAGCCAGGTGAGGGGTGCTCCTTAAATAGGTAGGTAAAATAATAAGCGTCTCCCACAATTACAGGCCAAATGGCCTTAATACTTGTGATAGGGGCACATAACCGTATAAGGAGTAAGGACCCAGTATAAGCGTAGGATAGTATAAAAGTCGGTTGTGGTGTGCCGGAACCGACGATGCGGTAGGCCTGTAAATAAAGAGGGCAATAGTGAATAATCAAAGATTTAATCCAGTCAACAACACATACAAATTAACCAGACATTTCCTTAAATGCATTGCGTATGTCTTGTACTGGTTTGGGTATGTACCGTGTATAAGCAGAGGATTTCCACCACCCAAGTGATTTGATAATGTGCACCGGTATGTTGGCACCGGAGGCTGTTGAGCCCGCCACTATACGGAAGGAGTGACCTGAGTAGTTAGAAGGGTTGCTGCCTAGCTGGGTTAAAAGTGACCTAACATGTTTCATGAAGGTAGAGGTACTTGTAATATAAATAATGGCTGTGAAGGTTGTAAGTTGGGGTTTTGAAGGTATGAGTCTAGAACCGCAACCGGGCACCATTTATTTTGGGTAGGATAGTAAGTTATCTCTATTGGTATTGCGTGTTGACTCATTTTTGAATGTGGTAGAGCCAGTAGGTAGTGATTCATGTGTTTTTTGAGGTGAGATTGTTTAAGACAATGAGTTGTCAGAGTTCGGGTGATAGTGGTAAACTCTCTTGGCCTTAGAAAACCGAAGAAAGCTACGTACATGGCTATTTTAATTACTTCGTTGGTACTGGAATTAAACGGTCTTAAATCTATTAGGTCGGATAAGGATTGGAAAAGGTGATTGTCTATTGGTAATCTCTGTGAAGAACGTGGGAAAACTGATTTCTGAATACCTCTGAGTATGTTTTTATCTGGTATGACGACATGAAACTATGGCTGTTAGGCCATAAGGTTAGCATGTGGCGTTGAATGCCTGTCAGATATAATTTTATGGTGTTGTGGGACAGTTTAAGTTTAAGATGGCAAAAAGAAGCAACACCTAATAGAGTTGACATGATAAAAGGTTGAGATATATTGTGTTCCAACAGGAATCTTTAAAACAAGGTGAAGGCTCTGTTATATGTCTTGCGAGTGTTGGACGAGAGTGCTAATTGGGATAATTCCCTGCTTTGTTGCATGAGTATATCCAATACATGATTAGATTCTGGAAAATAGGGTGGCTGTGGCTGCTTGAGCGGCTGTAGGGAGCGCTTGATGAAATGCCTGGAATTTAAATTGAGACAAATTGAGTCAGCCGTGTTACTAACACCAAGTACATGAAAACAAACTAAAAAGAATTGGTGACATGCCGCCAACCACGTGAGTTTCCTGTAAAATCTCATGATCGTTAAAGATGATGAGTGGCCCTTGATTATATGACAAGTGACTTGGTTGTCTGAGTAACAACGAACCGATGACCCCAACCATAAATAACCCCATGCCACAGCAGCCGCCACAATGGGGTATATATCAAAAAGAGCTGAGATAGTGGAAAAACCTTCCAAATCATGGACTTCCACAACTACCCCAAAGCCATTCGTTCCCATAGATTGCTGCAAAACCCGTGTCTGACCATATGGTTGGTGAAGTCTCAGACAACCCTGGGAGGAACATGCTTTTACCATTCCATGTGGTTAATAAATTCCGCCACATGAGCAGGTCTGCTGCAGCTTGGGTTTCTAGGGTCAATCTACGATCGTCACGTAAGAAGTGTGGAAAGAGGTGTAGCAGCATGGAGATAAAAGTGCGGCCTTGTGGTATGATGCGCATGGCAAAATTTAAGGAGCCTAGTAGGGATTGTAACTACTTGCGGTTGCATGAATCAAGCAGAAGGTAGTGATTGATGTAGGTGAAAATGTTCCCTTTTTTGTCCTGTGGTAAACTTGCTTGCATGGAAGCAGAGTCAAGTTGGATGCCCAGGAATGTGATGATAGTGTCCGGGCCTTCTGTTTTTTTAGGGGATACTGGGATACCCAAGTGGTCAAAAAGACTAATGGCTTCTATGGGGAAATATGTTTTCTTCGACCATCAAGAAGTCATCTAGATAGTGGATGACTGTGGGGGCATCTGGATATGTTTAATAACAACCAGCAAAGAGTTTTGCAAACATATCAAAATATTTTGGGGCTACTCTTTGACCCAAAGGTTAAGCATGAGAAAAAATAGTATCTGCCTTCCCATTTAATGCCATGTAGGGGCCAAAGTGGGGTGGATTGATTTGAGTAGTTTGAATGCGTTGGTGATATCGGTCTTACTTAACCAAGCTTCTACCCCTGCTTGAATGATAGCTGTAATGGCATGATCAATGCTTGCGTACTGTAAGGAAAACTCCTCCGAGGGTATGAGGGAATTGAGACTTGGGGTGGCAGAGTTGTGGGGTGCTGAAAAGTTTATGATCAGTCTTTGTTTGAGGGAGGATTTCCCTGTGACAATCCCAGTGGGGTTTGTTCTCCATGCAGTAAATGGTGGGGATTGGAAAGGCCCAAGTAGAAACCCCTCTGCCATTTCTTGTGCTATGAGTGTGCTTATAGCCGTGGGGTTCTGTTGTGCTGACTGCAAGTTTGGGCGTTCCAGATTCCCTGAAGGCATGTGTACAATACCCGTATGGAAACCCTCAGAAAAACAAGAGATTAGGAAATCCACTAGATGTCTGGAAGGGTGGTTAGTCAGTAACGCTGATAATGCATTGATGTTTACAGACATTAAGTACGGTTTTAGGTACATTTTATTGGGACACAGTTTTAGCATGTGCCCGGAAATATGTCGAATAAATATGCAACAATCTGCATGCACTGAAACTGCACGTACCAACATTAAAGGATCACTAAAGTGTCAGGAAAACAAAGCGGTTTTTCTGACACTATAGTGCCCTGAGGGTGCCTCCACCCTCAAAGACCCCCTCCCTTGGCGCTGAAGGGGTTAAAACTCCTTCAGCCACTTACCTTAATCCAGTGCCGTGCTCCCTCGGTGCTGGTGACCTCTCCTCCCCCGCCGACGTCAGCTCCCCCGTCCTACATCAGCGGAGCCGCGCGCATTCAAAGTGTCCATAGGAGGACACTCCTATGGATGTGCCTCCAGCGTCACAGATGCGCCTCTAGTGGCTGTCCGGTAGAAACTGCTATGTTTTCTCTGAAACTGCTATGTTTGCATCTGAAGGGTTAAAACCTGAGGGACCTGGGACCCAGACAACTTCATTGAGCTGAAGTGGTCTGGGTGACTATAGTGTCCCTTTAAAATTGTTACAAATCTGGGATTTGCCAAAAAAGATAATGGGACGACCCAATTTGTCCCTGGTAGATCTCTCTGTTCTACCAGAGGTGCTAGGGACTGGAGCACAGGTTGGACTGAAACGTCGATTTATTTTATGGAAACTGAATAAAAGTTATTTTTTAAATGGAAATCCGTGAGTGCAGCCATTCTACTTGCTTATATCGATATTGAAGCCCAGGCTATGCACCCGGTCTTGGACAAAAGTTGTGGGGTAGTGGAAGAGCAGGATGCACATGC